ACTACTAGTAAAAAAAACGAAATCTACGTTAACTTTCTGCTTTCATTTTTATTTAATTAATTCAGGTTATATAGTGGCGCATACGAATCGAAGCCACATCATTAAAACGACCATTGGTGTCTTCAACGCGTATAGGATGATTTATTTCCATTTGCACGACGTCGCTTACGTCAAGAATCCATCTGTTCAACATTACGCACACAATAAATAGGACACTTAAGATAAATATGTGCTTTATTTTTTACCCGTATAATAATTACGAATCAGTTACATTTTCCAGAGAACCACTAATGTCTGAAAATTTAGAAGAAAAAAAAACACACAAACAAGTCGAGTGTTCATTATATCAAAGATTAATTCCACTGTGTTTGCAGTTTTCAACAAGTTATATTGTAAGTACGAAGTTCGCCGTAAGTTCAAACAAAATCGTCACCATCGCCATCAGTTTAGTCTTTGTGACCATTCCGACAAAACGATTTATTCCAAGGTTTTGTGGTAGTGTGTCAAGGTTATTCACCGCATCAAAACCACGCCGGCTGTAATTTTTCATCATTTTATCGTACTGCTGATGTGTGAGTGATCGGAGCGATTTGGTTCTGAGATCCCTCCTCAGAGATCGTTTCAAGAGATTTGTTCCCAACCCCTCGATGATGTTTATATCGTTATCGTCAATATTAACAACTTCCTGTGTATATGACTGGTTGTACACTAACAAGAGGGACGGTCTCAGGGAGAACTATTTGAAATTCGACGGGGTGGGACGATGAGTGTTAAATCGATGCCGAGGTAAAAACAATACCACGCGTGTTTTTATCGCAATTATGATCACGATAAGAAAAAAGGAGGACGAAGCACATTATTGCCCTCCGAATGGAGTTTATTAAACAATTTGTGTATTGCTACGACATTGTCATATCTGCAGTATTTATTGCACATGCTGTTGTAATTTATATTGTATAGTAAATAACCCATTACGTACACAGAGGTAACTCGAAAGTCTTCCAGACACGTACTTACGCGGCGTAGGGCCAGCATTTACAATATGTGTAAAATTCACGTCCACAGCGTGCTTCGTTGCATTGGACACCGTATCAAAATCAGGTATCTTTTATATTGATTTTTGTTTTGTGGCAGTGACTAATCATTGGCTTCAGATAGGCAGTAAACAAAAAAGGCGCCGAATTCGGATGCGACCTTACCCCAGGGAATGTGCGTGCTTGTGAACGGGGTCCAATTTATTGGTTGGATAATGCCGCCGTTGGCAACGGACCAACTTTACAAAATGTGCACGGTGAACAGCAAAGGGCCGCTGACAACTTTTGCGTTTTTTATAGTCTTTTTTATGGCGCTACATTTCGTATTTGTTCCACAAAAAAGGGCCGACAAAAATGTTGATTATAGCTCGCGCTCGTAAATTGTTCCGTCGCTTGTTTTGAAAATGTGCTAAGCAGCGTTCATTTGACATGTGTTTGAGCTCTCGTAATGTTATTCAAGTAGTGACGTCAAACTCTGTTTAGTTAGTGCTGAACTCTCGTTGACATCGTGACGTAGTAGGTAGCCGACGTCAATCGGAAATTTTCGGAAAACATGCTCGTAAAGTAGTTGGGCAGTCGCGCGATAAGTCGGTCACACTCGGTATTTGTCGAGTTATAAAACGTACGTTTTTTTCTAGAAAACACTTTATAACTTTCTACAATTTCGACGCAAAAGAATAAGCAGTAAAAAAGATATATAAATTTTTTAAAAATAATAAAATATTGAAAAAATGCAGCTGCATTATGATTAAAAGATACAATACGGACGTAAAATTGATGTTTTAATATCTTGAGAACCAAATTTTTTGGATCATAAATTAAAAATGTTGCCTTTTGCGCCGCAATATGATAGTAGTTCGGTGAATCCTCATTACTCAAGTACTGGTTTATAGGATACTATTGTTCTTGTTGATTAAACTACCAGCCTGCCTTTTGTTTTCTATTGTCTTTTTAATCCTGTAAGAAAATAAACTGAAAATGAACCCTATTAACAAGCCCTGCTTTTATTCTGTTCTGTTCTATTCATATTCTACAATATTTATTATAATAATAATATTTATAATAATAATAATAATAATAATAATAATAATAATAATAATAATAATAATAATAATAATAATAATAATAATAACAATAACATGGCTGATATGTTGTAATCTTTATATTATCCGTCATATCCTTAATTTTATTAAATTTATCCCTCAGATTTGTTGTCAGTATTTTTGTGTCAGTTTCTATTATTTTTATTATTTAGTACCTGATCATTTTGTCGCGAGGACACCCCCTCGGGTGGAACATACGATCAGTTCTCGCGAGGACACCCCCCTCAAGTGGAACATGTATCCTCCAAACTCAACACCTCGTACGTCTGCTTGGCCAACTTGAAGTACCCCGTATTCGAGTTGGCGTCTCACAGTATTTAACTTAAACATACTGATGGTATCTTTCTTGGGGTGGGTGGGACAAGAAAGTTAGTAGACTAAAAGCCTATAATCGTGAGATTTTGAAAGTATTGGGTGCTCGGAATATTTGGATTAGAGTGTAAATTCAATGAGATTTCATCCGGTAGTACAGCCGCCAGGGATGTCCGAATGATTCATGTTGCATCGACAATTTGTACAGAAGCCGCAGTCTCGCCGCTAACTTTTTTTTCCAATTGAATTAAATATATAGGTTGGATATATTTAACATATCATCTGCTGAAAACCTCCAGGAATAACCGGAATGAATGAAAACAACGACACCAGTAGGCAACGTGCTAATGTCACAGAGAATCCTATAGTTACCATACGTGCTATTCATGGGTGAGGTCGATGACCGATGAGTCAGTGTTTGGTCAACGGTCGATACGGATATGTGACTGATTAAGGGGGAAAAAGTATGAGTGGATTGAAGGCAAATATAAAAAAAAAACATTGCAATCATGTCCTGTGGTACAATCATTATTTGGGAGAGGCAAGTAACCCCTCAAGTATAGTATGCATTGCTGGCCGAATCGACAACATCGGCACTGTACGACCGACTCTGTGTCGGCGTTATTGGGCTCACTGTGCGATAGGCCGTAAACGTGCCATAAAAACGTCTCATTGACAATAACACGCTTCCCGTGAAAGCTTTGGAAGTGAAATTATATATTCACGCGGTTTGGGTCACGGCGTCCTGACCCATTTTATTTCTTGTCAAACTCAGAAAACGTGTCCCGCTTAGATCGGACTTCCGGTGCATTTAGATATTGTCATCGCCCCCGTCACAGTCGTGTCAGTCATTGTTACAGTGATTTGAATATCTCTGTGCGTCTCTTGGCGCAGTCAGTGACTCAGGTAGTTCGGTGAACTGAGAACGTTTCGGCTTTGATCGACAGTGATAGACTATCCAACCGTAGCTGACGTTTCGGACGCGATGGTTGCCATGATTCCCTGTACGGACATTCTTGTGCGTACTATCTACAGATTTTAACGAAATGTTCAAAAATCTCGCCCCATAAGTATTTTAAGGAAATACAAATTAAAAAGAAAAATTGACATTTTCACTAAAAAACAACTTTGCCTTCTACATTCAAAGAGATATTCCCTTATACGTAAATCAATGTTATTTAGTCGCGTCCGACTCGTGCACTAATGTTTGATGTTTGGTACGACTTCAGAAAAAAACACTTTATTATTCTCGTTTTCACACACCCTAATTACTTAGATTTGTTTATCGATCATAATGCAGATCAACAAAGAGTACGTAAGCTGATCTGAACACGTTTTGCCGATGTAAACATCTCCCTAAACTGTGACGTCACAGAAAAACATCACTACTGCGCGTGCGCTCCACTCATTCCTACCGCACGTCCTTCCTTATGTATAAATATCGGCAGTACGCGTACAACCCATTCATACAAACCGAATGCTCCAATACACAGTCGAAGCGAACCACGCTCGATACGGAGAATACTATATTACTTTTGCATATACAGACGACCCATCGGGTTCGTGTCACTAGTAGCCAATGCGTCCAGACACCGTGGATCTTATGTTTTTTGGCGGTGCCGAGGATCAGTGGGCCGATTTTTCTCTGGACAACATCGAAAGTAAGTGGTTTTTATAATTATTTATTTTCCAACAATTTAAAAGCGGTGCTGTTTATCAATAATAATAATAAAAAAAATATATAACTTTTTTTATTAATTGGGGCGCCCATTGTTGGCCCACCCACTTTCAGATTTAATACTTTGATAAAAGGAGACCAGATTCGTAATGTTTAATTTCTTTAACTTCAATTAACGCGCATCTTACATTTAATTATTGTGAGTAATCATAAATTGTTATGCGAAGCAAGTTCAATACCGGCACGATGATATTAAATATATGTCTTACATAAACGGTGTTGACAGATAAGTTTATCAATTTGTATTATATTGTTGAAAAATTCACTTTAAAATTTGTCCAAGTTCCGTACGGTCTCTGCCTCGGGAATTCAACTTCTGCCGATAACACAGCATCGATCACTTGTCCCGACACCGGGAGGCGTGGTCGAATACTCGCTCTGGTCTTCAGAGAGCGGCGCCCTATCTCTTCGGCGCCTTTGGTGTGGTCGCACATATTTTCGGTAAAGTGGCAGTTTGGTATGACAAATATTTGCCGTGATCACGTGCACCGATGTGCTTTAACAAATACGCAAGCATGTTGTAATGTCAGTGTTGTGAACTGTTATCATCAAGTCGAGCTGTTGACGCATGTGCGATATGCAAATACAGTATATGATTTCCATTTCATGAAGCCTTCCACCCGTGTCCATAACACCGCATGCGATTGGGTCGCTTTATAACAACAAAGCCACTCTTACAATACCTCAGCCAACCAGAAGCCCGTTATCATTGTCCTCACCCGTTACGATAAATATGATAACATTTGCATCTGCTTAATTTTTAATAGCAAGTTGTGCGCTTGCGCATAGGCTCGCCCTTTCTCACGTTCAAGCCACTCATTTGCATATCCTGACAGTACGCGCCGATGATAGAACTGGTACAGAACAGGATACGAACGTCGCAGTTTTTTTTACTACGGTGAAACACATTGCATCAGTGTATAGCAGCATAGAAGTAACTATATTTCATCGCCAGTTGATCGCGGGGAATATTTTCTGTTGTTCCCCGAGTTTCACGCAGGCAACATGACTGCCGAGATTGACAAATCTACACCACCGAAGGAGACCCGCTCGGGTCAAGGTATTCACTCCATATGTACATTCATAATTTAAACTTGAGTTGCCGCGTTTTCTCTCCGTCGAACTTGCTACCTTGTTTCGGTTCTTTTGGAACTTAGTTACCTTACATGAGCAACGCGTTAGTTAGGTCTAACAGTGACTTGTTCGAATGCTGTTAAGTTCCCGGAGCGTAATGTGTACGGACATTAAAATGCGGTAGCACTTGACCGCTAGCTCTTAGACTTTAATGGAACACCATTGCGAGTATATAGCATATATGTATATTAATAATTACAGTTGCCATGGTTTTTTCCGCTCGTGTTCATGCGATTAACGCGAGTTTTAGATAATGTGAGACGTGTTCGTCACTGTTCACGTTACTAAAACTGTTGGCAAAGACTGCATATGAATTCGGTGGTGTTTTTTTCCTAGCTTGGTTAAGTTGGAACGAGTGGGACACGAGAGGGCGTATTCACAGTTGGCGCTGTGATTAAAAATGACTTGAGCGTACACGTAGAGGTTCGATCGTCGTACACCCGAATATGCATGGGTATCTCGATTACGCACCGATTTTAAATTTATGAAAGTATGGAAACATACTTGAAGTTGTTTGGAAGTGAAACCTCTCTCCCGTAATTTATCGTGTAGGGTTTCAATCAACGTTTTTGCTTCTTCGCTGATACTCCAAACAAAACAGCCCCGCCTTCTTTCCACTCGATGACAAAATGGCTGACCGTTGCGGACAGTGACCAATGACCACTGAACTTGATTCTTGTTTTCTTTTGCGACCACGTCGCTGCGGGTAATCACTGTTGAATGAAATGAGTATTATTAAACTGAAACCAACTCGTGATTATCTGATCTAAGCAAGTCGATACTCGTTACGTTGATTTGGAGCTTATCATTTATGTGTGACGTTGCTGTAAAAGTAGGGCATCGAACTTACACACTTATGACAATGGATAAAACCCAATCATGTATACCGTTGTTATTTATAAATTGATGTTGCTTGCGTTCTTACTAGCACGACGAAATGAATTAACGATACGGGTCCACGCGTATTACACTCCAAGTGTTTTGGGTGCAGCGTTTTATGCCCGGACCATGACCGTAGCACAGCACGAATAATTTAAATACCTCCGCATCGTGTTTTTTTAATGCAAATTACTGCCCCTCTCCCCTCAAGTCAATATGTCTTAATCCGCAGCGTGTTGAAGGTCGCTTTGTTATTTTATTCATGGTGTTTGTACATGTTACGTAATCGGACCCGTGAATTAAACCGTTAAAACACATAGTTCTCAGTGTGTTTTTTTGTATATATATATATATGTATATATTGCATCGTATACATAATACACTGAGCTTGATACAGAACTTGATAACCATTCAACCATACTTATTGTATAAATGCGCCGGTTCTATTAGTAATCCGGAGACATTGAATAATGAAACGATCTCTATGCAATGTAATTATCCAGATGCGTCGCGTTGATTGGACGGCCTTTGAATTTGACCGCTTACGTCACATGTAGCGGCTTTAGTCAGTAGTAGCGTACCCACCACAGAGGAAGGGAGGTTGCTTGGACGCTGGCTTTAGACCTGTATGTTGACGAAATTCAAGGAAGCAATTACTGTATATTGGCCCATTTGATGCCCAATGACATAGTTCTGATTGTTTAATACATTTTGGACATTAAAATGGATTCAGCAAATTGGAACCAAGGTTAGTTGTATATCGGCAAAGTGATCATCATCGTCGCCAAAAGGCGGGTCGCGTTTGTTTACAAAGCTGTGTTTCTTATTGGAGCTCTTGAAAACGCTCCCCAAATGAATGAATTTGGTTTACACCGCCTTCTGATCCAACGCGGAATTGTCAAAGTTGTTGTGATCGTTTTTATAAACCACCGTCTTATATGTTAGAGTAGCTAACACATTTTTGTGGAATGGGGCCATTTTTTTAAGGAGGGTGATTCTCAGTCCCCGGGAAACTGTGAAGGACTGTTACGTAACCAATTAACACCCAAGCCAAGTATAAGAATGCATGCCTCTTAACACATTTACTACTAACTGGGATCAGCTTTTTACGTTTCATATCTTCGTCATTTCAAGTCTGTTCTGTAATATGTATCCGTGTTGTATTATTATACAGTTTCAGTATGGCGACGTGGCCGAATGAATCCTTGAGTCCGAACACATACCGTGTATATGTGGCAACCCGCGAGTCACAATAGAGAATAGCTGGCGGTGATTAACAGTAGAGTATCTTTTATATATAGGGCTTCCGGCATTCACCTTCAATCGTTACTAATTATGGCTTTCCTTCTCTCTCTATCTCTTTTATAGCACCCACCCTCAAAATGGACTTCGCGTTTGAAAATGAGGAGCTGAAAGTGGCGTTTGATGATATGTGTCCGGTGTGTGGTGACAAAGTCTCCGGCTATCACTACGGACTCTTGACCTGTGAAAGCTGCAAGGGTTTTTTTAAACGGACAGTGCAAAATAAGAAAGTATATACATGTATTGAGAACCGCAACTGCGTTATTGACAAAACACAGAGGAAGAGGTGTCCATATTGCAGGTTCCAAAAGTGTCTCAAAGTCGGCATGAAGTTGGAAGGTGAGGCTTGTTAATAACTGAATTAAAATTAGTATTTAACGAGTATGTAAAAAGAACACCCGCCACCTACTAGTATTTCTAAAATTAACAAATATTTTTATGTTTTCCGTTTTCAGCCGTTCGACCTGACAGAATGAGAGGTGGACGAAACAAGTTCGGGCCAATGTATAAACGTGACAGAGCTATGAAACAACAGCAACGTAACCGTGTTATGGTATCTACCCGGCCACTCAATGTTCCAGGCAACCCCGAAATCTCAAACGCAATCCGAAACATCCAAGCCGCAGCTGCAGCTAAAAACTGCACGCAGTCATCGGTAGCTCCCCAGCCAGCTATGGTTATCCGCGACCCACTTAACACACCAAAACCTACCTTATCCGACATCCCAAGACCGGTGGCTTCGATACCTGTATCGTACGGTTATGATGTTACGGGCGGAGTGAGCCAACTTATGGGATCAATGTCTGGCCCACTGATGAGCGAGCCCAAATCAACGTACAGCGCAGCCGTACCAAATCCGATCAAGGTAGAACCAGACCAGACACCCAGGCTCATTACAGAAATGGTCCGATCCGAACCCGATTACAAGCAACTTCAGGCCAAGATCAGGACGTGTCTTCAAAGTCAAATGGAGATGAACGGACCGACGGATTATTTCGGAATGGCCTGCAAGTTGGCTGACCAGACGTTGTTTGCATTCGTTGATTGGGCGCGGAATAGCATGTTCTTCAAAGACCTCAAGGTAAGGCAAAAACCCATTTTACTTCGACCCTAATTTTAATAAAATAGAGTTTGAAAAAATGTATGCTCTATGAACCGAAACGAGGTTTAACTTCAAGGTTCAATGTACTGAAAAGTATTTGCTCTGGTGTTAACCGTTATCGCTTCTACGTCAAGGTCAGAGTAATAATACCGTATTCCTTTCATCCTGTAACAAAACAGTTTATAATGAATAATTGGTAAACACTGACCGACCTATGCATTTATTATTCGTTCATAGGTTGAGGACCAAATGAAACTCTTACAAAATGCTTGGAGTGAGCTATTGGTGATAGACCAGTGTTACCGCCAAGTTGAATCCAATGTGGAGGAAATGATACTCGTAACCGGGGAAGTATTGGACGTGGCCAAGCTTCGGATGTATGGGCTGGGAGATATCGTCGATCGCATGACAGAGATCATCAAGAGAATGAAAGAGTTGAAAATGGACAGGAAAGAATTTATGTGCCTCAAGTTTTTGCTTCTGTTAAACCCCGGTAAGTGGAGATTGAGATTACATCTCAATTGTTTCCCCCAGGCGAACGCATACATGTAAAGAAAAATGAATTCGACCATCATTTGAAAATTTCAATACGGACAAATTGAAGACATGCTCAGTTAGGCGAGTTTGCCAAGTCCGTGTTAGGCGAAATGACATTATGAGAACCAGTCAGTTTGGCGTAGTGTAAATTAGTGTTTTCACACGACTCACGTCAGGGTTTACAATTAAAGCAAACGCGCGGTTTATAGCGGCGCAGCTGCGGTATTTAGCTAAGAGAATAGTGTTTATAATTTGAAGACAAAGGGCAACCTTGGAATGACGGAATAAAATACCCCGATGTCTGTTTATGTAACGGAAGTTTTGGAGTGGGGACAAACCCTCTGTTTTCAGCTTCACTGAACTAACATGTTTTTTTTTTTTTCGTTTTTTTTTCATCAGATGTGCCGGGTCTCCAAGACAACCACGCAATTCGTCAGTTTCAGGAACAAATACACGCCGCTCTCCTGGATTACACCATGTCCAATTACCCTGAAGTCACGGAGAAATTCGGCCAGTTGTTGCTAAGGTTACCGGAAATTCGCCAAATAAGCCTTCAAGGGGAAGAATATCTTTACTATAAGCATCTCAGTGGGGAAGTGCCGTACAACAGTTTACTCATGGAAATGCTACACAGTAAGCGAAAATGACTGGAAAATTGAGAAAGACTTTATGTTGGACTTGCACTTTAAGTGCGGACCCTCTATGATTCAACAAAAGGGACAATGAATCCATCTCTTGTGGGCTTCCGAGCCGAGATGTTTACGCAGGTTTCTGTACCTTGACGGTGATACAAGATTATGCAGGTGATAAGATATAAAACTTGAGGCCAGTAAGTCTGTCTGGTTAAACTTCCCCCACCATACGAAGAAATAAGGACGAATTCGATGGAATTGAACACCCCAACTCTACGGTTGTTAGTTCTGTGTGCGTGCCACCAATAGCGTTGGCTTTCAAATCGTTTTTTTGTGGGACATTAATTTTCCCACACCAAACATTGTTTCCAAATACGCAACTTTTCCATCATCACAGGACAGCCAGAGCTGACACATTTTAATATTCAAAATGATTCTGTTAGGTATTACTAATTATTTGGCTTCTATCATTTTTATAGGCAGGTGTTCAACAGTTTAAATGGTAATTTTTAGACTTTTTTTTGCAATTTTAATCCCTGGCTAAGTACCTGGCAGTATTTATATTTTTAAATGAAGATGTCGAACTCAAATTAATTTTAGCTTTTTTCTGCAATGATTTTAAAATTAAAAATGAATACAGGGACAGTTTTAACGGTTTGAATGAATGACCAAAACGTCCCCATCCTATTGCTTGCTTGCTTCCTTGCTTGAGTAGTGTTTAGTCTTTGATTCGAAATGTATCAGTTAGTGAAATCGTTTTTCTGAGAAATGTGTTGTCATGGTTGTACATTGTTTAAACGTCTGGCCAGAACAGTCTCGTCACTTTTTACAATTGATGAACAACAGCCATGTTTTTTAAAGTCAAAATGGCTGCGGTTAGCACTGCGCAGTCGTGTGTGCGCATTACGTCATACTTTTTACTATAACGACGACGACGACACACGTAATGCTCACAGATATCTAGTATGTGAGAGTACATAACTACAATTCATAGTTTGGGATTTTAAACGAGAGAAAAGTTTCATAATTAGTATATGAAATTCAAAACTTGGCGTCGTTTGTATATAAATATATATATATATATCTTCTTATTCGACTGATAGCTGCTCTGTTTTCTCCAGTCAAATGCAATTTTTATATTAAATATAAACAAATATGAAACACTCAAAATTCGGATGTTTTTTTTTTTTTTACAAAATGAGGGTAATTCTCCCAAAAGTCGCACATTAATAAGTCTTCGCTTCATCGCTGTACATTGAATGCTTGCAAGTAATTGGCGCGCTTTTGTAAATTTCGCTAAGTCGCTAATAACGGAACTCCAGAGCAGCTATCAGGCCGTTGTTTTCAACGAACTCAGTGACTTTTTTTTACAGAATTTACTGGTGTCACGAACGCCCACTATACGAGCATACCTCAGATCTCACTGTTTGTTGTCAGTGCTTGGCACATTTCTATTGGGTGACTTAATTCAACTCTATGTACATTTGTTTCTGCAGAGCCGGGTCATCATGGCCGGACTAATAAAATACGTCAAACATTTAAAATACGCGTGTGTTGCGTTGTCTCTTACAATGGATGTGTACTAGTACCCCATACTCTTACTTTCTCTTACATACTCTTACGTTTGTGAATACATGTCTACCGCAACGAATAACCTTTTCAATTGGTTGCATTTTGATATGCTCTGTCCTAATTAACCGAATACACAACAAAACTCAAAATAATCTATCTGCATTGTCTGTTCGTCACGCTCTTTGCGTAGGCCAATCAAAACAGAGTATCTCAGCACGGGAACCCTTTCAAAATTGTAGTACGTATGCCTGAACTAGAAAGTGTATACGTTTCGGCCATTTTCTAAAATGGCACCCGTTACGTGTTATGCAAATTAGATCCGATGACGTGCATAGTGAAAATGAATAAAGACACTGAAATTTTAGGATATTATTTAGGAACGAACTATGTGTTGGGAAAGTGTTGTGTTCGTATTATAATCCACAGTCCTATTCACGTTACCATAGCAACAACTCTCCTCCGTATAGATAAAGCATTTTATTACAGCGCCGTAAGGAATATTCTGCTTGTGATAATATTTTGAGATATTATTCCAGAATAATGAATGAAATTATCTAACAATACAAATGCATGCAGTGGAATTACGTATGTCCGGTTTGAAACGGATTTACCAATATCAAGATTAACACTCGATCGTTAGAGTGCAGGGTATTGTCGGAGCGGCTTGAATGAGTTTTCGTGGTACGATGGCCTGTATATAAATAGTGTTAATTTCAAAGCGATTCCGTGGGTGGGCTTTTCATATGCAAATACTGTACTAGATGCATACCGAGCGAAGTTTAATTTGTATGCTAATTAGATATACCGAGAACAATTACCCTTAATGGAATTGCTTTTTGGCCACCTTCAAATTCCAACAGCTTTCTGTCGGATTTCTTTTACCGGTGCGCGTTTGTTTTCATCAATACGGCACACATAAGCTCCTGGTCACATCCGGATATCGCGAAGAGCTGGAACAAATGGCCGTAATCATTTTGGCACACGGCCGTTGGACGTAGTGTTGTGTGTGTCACAGCCAACATTTCTGGGGAGAAAGTGGAAGGTACTATCGAACAAATAGCACTAACGGACAATTTGAAATGACCTTATGTGAGCTAACAAATGCCGGTACGCAGAACCTTCAGTTCGGCAGTCTTTTTCCCACCATTGTAAGAACAGGAGCTACTATACCGTTTCTGTCAGAAAAAAACAACGATATGATATCAGTTTTATCCCTGTGGTTTTATGGGGCACGTTGAGAGGGCGGGGCGAGCCTGTTGTTGTAGATGAGTCAGCGTATTTTCGCAAGAGGAGTAGTCTAAATTCAAAGCCCCTTTCTGAATAAATACTTGGGACACTGCGCGGGGGTTTCTGGGACATTCTCTGGGCAACACCGGGACAGACAATGGCATAGATATTTGCCCATGGTACTGGGGCACCAATATAAGAGGTTGGAACTCGTAAGCAGTAATAATGTCACATAATAACAATATTTATATATAGCAGCAATAATACAACCTATGAGCAATAATGCCACATAGCATTAATAATGTCACAGAGCAACAATAATACCACTTACGAGCAATAATGTCACAGAGCAACAATAATGTCACATATTAGCAACAATAATGTCATATAGCAGCAATAATGCCACCTACGAGTAATTATGTCACATAACAACAATAATGTCATATAGCAGCAATGTTGTTACATAATAACAATGTCACATAGCAGAAATACATAGCAGAAATAATGTGACATAGCAGTAATAATGTTACGTAGCAGTAATAATGTTACGTAGCAGTAATAATGTGACATAGCAGTAATAATATGACAAATCTGTAAAAATTTCACATAACAGCAACACTGTCACATAGCAGCAATAGTGGTACACAACATCAACACTGCCACAGAATACAATAACAGAAATAATACCACATACGAGCATTACTGTCATATGGCAACAATAAGAATACATAGCATCAATAATGCCACCTTCGAACAATATTGCCATATATCAGCAATAATGGCAGAAATAAAGCCACATACAAC